CGTTGATGATACATTTTTTGGATGAAACGATGACGCGTTTATTATGATGTTTCTCGAGATTAATGCAATTTATCCAAATTTTTAGAGTAGAGAAACATTGGAACGATTTCAAAATGATATATGTATAAGCAAAGAAAAAAAAAAGATTCTTTGTTGATAAAAAAAAGTATTAGTTTTTTTGTAAAAATAGCAAAAATTATACACTTTGTGTCCATTTAAACCATCTTAAATCTAATTTTTACTTTTAAAAATTTTTCCTTCGTTTTTAATCTGTTTCTCCAACGAATAAAATTTTTACAGGAAAATTATTAATTGTATTCGATTTTTCTTTGTGTTATCAAAGAAAGAAGACTAAATATTATAAAATTCAAATAGATAGTATCGGTGTGCTATTTTATCTTGTCTTTACGTAAGTTTAATATACTTTAATGGTTCGATCTTGTATAATATAGTTTTCTCTTACTTACAAACGATCCCAATATATATCTGTCGCAGTATCCCAACTTCCATGGTTATTATTGAGCCTCTCTTCACTCGTCACGATCGGATAATTTGAAGAAGCGAGAGCGTTGTGGATAATCGAGCGTGGAGGAGGGAAGTCTGTTTCATTGGTGAGTTAAATGGAATATGGGTAAGGAACTCGTTTAATTTTTGAATTATTTAGATCCAATGGTTCGGAGAAGTTTTAGAATTTAATCCTTCAGGGAAGGAGATATTTTAAATCTGCCTAGAAACAAAAAAAAAAAAAGAATGAAAATAAAATTGGAATTTTTTTTCTCTTGAAATTGAATACAAGCAAATGAAATAGATTTATGCTGTTATGACAAAAAGGCATTTAAATGTTTCCTTTCAAGGATATACAGCTCTTCACTATACTTTAATTCGTACTTAGATCGTATTCTAAATTCTTTTCTTTTTATTTCTGTCTCAATTTATTATGCATCGATATAATTATAGCGAAAATATTTGAGAATTTTCCATTAAAAATTCACACGTCATGCATAAAAATTTTTTTATTCCAACGCTTGTTTTTCTGAAGAAAATCAAAATTGAGCAGAAATATCGTATAAGTAAAAGACTTTTCAAATATTGTTATTATCATTATATTATTCCATTTATTTTTTCCCACATTCATATCGTATCATACATAATCATCTGCACACAATTTTCACTACACAACCAGCGTACATTCAATTCGAAATCGTTCCCAAACGTTCGATTAACATCCATCAAGTATCCTCGTGCGAGTGGAGGACGCTTGGAGTAGGCGTGTGCACATTTTCGTACGAAAATAAAATCGACTAAGATACTAACAGGATCCTCGTTGATGCGTATCCCGCAGTAGGGGATAACAATAAGGCATGGGTTTGCCACGCTTTGTGACCTTCGATCCCCTGTTGCGAGTCGACGCTTTATCGCCGACGTGTCATTAGGACAACGCGGTTCGCACCCCAAATCCTCCGCGGTTGGAATTTACCGCCCCCGGTCTTTCGGCTTCCGGGATTACTTTCCCGATTCACACTTCCTTTTTGTGAGTATCTGTTGATACGATTATCTCGATGTTAAGAGAACTTTTTACAATGAAAATTAAATTAAATTAAGTTCTAACCATGTGTACAATGTTTCTAAGAGGATAATAAAATTTTCAGTAAACAATGTTTTTTCTTTTGTTTCTAAAGATTTAGAAAATTTGTGATAAATAAAAGTATTTCGAGAATCAGACAAGAACTCGTTTGCAAAGAGGAGTGAGAATTGAAAGTTCCATGAAATATAAATATATATTCCATGTTGCATATGCAGTTTGCAGAGTGAGTGTAAAGGAAAGGAAGGATGATGAAAATGATTAAATATGGTTCTTTTATAATATAAATGTATAACGTGTATTATTTATACTTTTGTATCGGTGTACAGGAAATTTTGAGGGAAATTTAAATTCGTTGATGAAGAATTAATTTATTTCGAAAGAAAAGAAAAAAAAGGAAAGAAAAGAAAGAAATCGAGGACATTGTGACGAGAAATTTATTTCTGATCACGCGAAGAAATTTATTTTTTTATCGTTGTCGAGTTGTTATGCAAATATAATGATGAGTATTTATGCAAAAAATATTCTGCATCGTTTGGTACAAGTTTTATTCAGATTGGATTAAAAATGAGTGATTTATTGCAGATTTCTGGCTCTGCTTGCATTAATATCTTGTTCACAACACGAATATAAAATAACGTTACATTTTGATGTTAACATAATTTTTATCAATATAACGTGATTATTTTTAATATTTTGATACAAGTCAGAGATATTTTAAATATTAAAATAAAATATTTAAATAAATATTTAAATATTTATATAAACACGTACAAATGTATTTTCAATTATGTTTTTTTTTTGAACGTTGAAATAAAAAAATTTTGAAAAAATTTTTGATAAAACTAAAGCTGTCCCTTCTTTGCTACGAAGTTCTCAATTGTATTACTTTTTTTTTTTTCGTCTCTTATTTTCTATAGAAAAATATGGTAGAATAAAAATCTCAAATATTTGATATGAAACGGTATTTAGCACATGATTAATAACAAAAACGTGAAAAGAAATAAAAGTGTTTATACAATAAACTGTTCCTAGAAGAATGAAATTACAGATGAAATGACTTATGACAAGAGAGAAAAACAATAGCATTATTTCAGAGAAGCGTAAAGAAGAATAGGAATTCTAAAGATTCATATAAAAAGTTTAATACAATATCGATTGTGTTAGATAGAAAAATAAATGAAATCTTTTGTACTGCAATATACGTGAACATTTCAAATAATTTCAAGTATTGTTTGAAAGAACAGAAGAACCTTAAATTAAATCAAAAATATTATTTTAAACGTAACGAGATTCATAAATATCTTTTTTGTCTACAATTTATTCATTGCATTTATACAAACTTGGCTGAAAAATAATTAGCTTGCCAGATACAATGATTTAAACACGGATATTTTTAACAATCATTCATTTTAGTCTTTCGAACACAATACACAACAATTAATGGACAATTATTTACACAACTACTTAATTATTTAATGCTGAAATTTCTTAAAGTGTTAGATTGTTTCACGATATATTATTTTCAATTTCCAGTTAATACACACATAGCCTTGACTTTTGAAATTCCCTTTTATTCAAAAACGAAGCTTTAAATGGAAAAATTTCTTTTCGATTTCTCTTTGACACATAGAATTACAATCTATTCTAACCAATTTTAATACGATTTTTATCTGAGAATGTTATTCTTCTCTTTTACACATAGAAGATAATCATAGTGCAATCAATTATTCTTGGAACACAATTTTTTTTTTTTCGATTCACTTTTACGACACTTTCACTTGTTTTTTTCCAAAACAAAATCTTAAATAATCTTAAACGAAAAAAAATATTTCTTCTCTTAGACTTACTGTTTGCACGTCACCACTACTTTATGATCAACATACTCGTTTAACGAATCCACGAGGATTCTTTACCCGACCTGACACTGATATTATCGCATCATGCGTTTTACGACGTCTAATACAAATTGCGTTGACACGTATCCAGGATTTACTCTCGTCTCGTCTCAGCGGCCGTATGCAACTTCAGAGATCACTTTATTACACACGTTTACGACTTTGAACGACTAAGTCTAACTACGTTGTTTAAACTCGTCCCGAAAGTCGTTCTCGCCCGACACAAAAGCAGGCGAGTTAATATTCTTGCGTAACGACACGATCGTTATGCATATAACACGCGATTTTACGGGAGATTATTTCCATGCATCGTGTCAACGACGATTAACAATGTGTTGCAATTGTATATGCTATAATAATTAGCCACTCTGAACATGCGAGACAACGAGGAATCGTGAGTTAGCGTGGTTTCTTCTATTTTTTTTAATCTAACTTGATCCTTCAAATGTAAAATTCGAATTTTGAGCTTGTCTCATATCGTTTCGACAAATTGACGCACGGTGAAAATTATCGAAATAAAAGAAAAAGGGAAACAATTTTTTTTCTTAATTTTAAAAATTTGTATTTTCTTTTTTTTTTTTAATATCAGTATTCATTGTAGAATTCTCTTGAATGTATAAATCGATTGAATTTAATGTTTTTACATTCATTAAGTGTATATCGTTAAGATATGAGTATATCGATATTAATAATTTTCATTCGAATCTGTCGTTATCACATATAACACCTTTTCCTCATATACGTTTTTTGATCCCTAAATCCTCTTTAGTCATAAAGAGGACTAAAGACAATTATAGAACGATATTTTGCATTGTATTAATCATATCTTGTGCATTTTATTACGTACAAGACACTTTTATATTTATTTACACAGAATTTGTTTAGAATGTTGTAAATAAACAGTAAAATTTACTATACGAATTATAATTTTTCTTTCAAGAATTGTTATTAATTATTTATCGTAGATCAATTAATAGATTAAAAGATTTGTCCATTTCTTTCAAAACGAGATACGAATCTTTCTTATTCAACGAATCGTTACTTTCTTTTTTCCTTTTTCCTCGTATTTAACCTTTTGTATCGATTTGAATTCACAGTCGCATTCCAAAGTCTTAAATTCGTGCGATGCAACGTCGAGGAGGAACTCCTTCTGTTCGTTTCTCTGTTTATCGGCCGACTTTTCAACGGACAGGTATCCTAGGATATTATAAAAAGCCATTTTTCAAGAGATATTCACAAATATTTGCTCCAATCCTGTTTTAATTAGGGACCGATGAATAATTGAGCATCCCATGAAGGAAGCATATATATATATCTACAGATATTCAGTGGCTTTTAAGTATCGATTGTCAATTAGTTTCTATATCAATCTTTTCTCGTATACCGATATACTTTTGTACCTAAAAATAATTAGAAATAATTGATAACTTTAATCTATTGTTAATTAGTCAAATCGGCATCCAACGATAACCAAGTGAATTGAAATTAATATAAATAAATATATAATAAGCCATTACTAAATTATCAGTAGTTCATTTCCATGCGTAATAATAGCACGAATTAAAAAAAAAAAAAATCAACGAATAAATTTCTTCCTTTTTACACCTGCCCCATCAACTCCCATCGATCGATAGCATTCATCACATTTATTTCGATATTCTCATTACTCTCGCGACAAGTCCCGCATTTCCTACATCGCGAAACAATAGAATTCTCGCGATCATTTCAATATCGTATTTCAATTACCTGGCTATGGAACGAGATACGCTTCACCACCACGATTCTCTCTCCTCCCAGCCGCAACCTAGATCTTCGATCTGTCCATTTGTCATCTCGATAATGCGGCTACATCGTTGTTTATTCTATTATCGCGTCATTTGTTAGCAATGGTCCATTCTCATTGTCGAGCAATTAAAACGTAATTACGATAATATGTCGTCTAGTTATCGATGAATCGGTGAGGTGGACAATATTTTTCGTTTTGTTTATTATAATCGGAATTTTCTCCACGAGTTCGTATTTCATAAAACTGGTAAATTATTAGGAAATGAGAGATATGTTTTAGTTATTAGGAGAATCAATTTGAAGCTTGAAATTAGTATTTCAATAATAGATATTTTGCTCAATTGTACAACGACAAATTAAAAATAATTAATTAGATATATAGATATATTTCGTTGCAAATGAAAAATAAACAAAATTGGAAATTTAAATGAAAAAATTTTAAATATAAACGTGTTTTTCTTAACTTAATGTATTTTAAATATCTATGAACAACACTTTTATCGATAACAATTAACTAAATCCTTAATTTTAACGATTATAAACTGTTCTATGGTGATACAAAGTCAGACAAAATAAGTTGCAACAGTATAGATAATAACAAACGATCTTTGTATTCCATTTCCTTATTTATAATCTTTATTTTTAAATAAAATGCAATAATATCATCAATGCTGAAATATTATTATATTTTATAGCTTATTCAAATTTCCAAGAAAAAGTTGTAATTAATTGAAGCTGGCCAGTAGCGATCAATGATTGTGATTTGATAAATATTATTTCGCGTTTTTCCTTGTTTCTTCGGTTGAGAGATGAGTGAACGTGAAAAATATCCAATTACGAGAACACATTAGCGTATGATCGTTACGTAGTTTTGATTGAAACGCTCGACGATATAATTATACCGATTTATAATATAGACAATGAATCTTCCATAGTCGTATGATAATTAACTACAAGTCCGAGTAGATTATTCCTCAGGAATCTTGTTCCAGTATTTATTCTTTTCCATTACATAAGCTATGGTTAGATCTTACGTGTGTGAGAAATTATTCAATGATTACAGTTTATGTATATATTTTTGTATATATTAAATTCGTTTAATTTAAATAACATTTCTTACTATATTGAGATTTGAAGAAGGGAAGAATAGAAAATTATTAGATATTACTAGATATAAGTTACTAGATTAGAGTCAATGATTAGAGTTTACATGTGTGATATATTAAAAATTCATTAAGTTTAGTTTGCTTCGTTTAAAATTTCCTATTGAATTATTCCAAAAATAATGTTGTATTCAAAATTTGATTTTAATTTTGAAAAGAATAATTCGTTGTACCAGTTAGCTATTAAACTTTAAATCCTTAAAATGTATCATCGAAATAAATCATACGAAGGTATCATTTCTTCGAGAAATTTCAACTTTTAATAAATTTAACTATACTACATATCTTCCTAATCTTGTTTGGTATATTTCCTCTATAAGAAGAACATAATGGAATGATATTATATACACGTGTACAGAGAATAAATATTAAAGAATACGTGGAAGAGTGAAATACAAGCGTAGAAGAAAAAACAGAGAAGCAGAGAGACGAAAAAACGTATGAATATATACGTAAGCACGAAAAGATATTATCTTCTGTTATTAATTTTTCAAAGAACCTGATTCATCGTGGTCATTTTCTACACATCATTTTTACTAAATTTTACTATTTATTTGAAATATATTTGCATCCACTTTACACATCCACATTTCTAAATATATTCAATAAATAATTTACTATATATCTAAATCTCAATATTCCAGCAATTATCTTTCTTTTTTTTTTAATTTGATGAAATTTTCCATAGAAAATTATTGGCACTATGTATTTCATTGTATTCAAAGGATCGAACAAAGATCTAGATAAGTATTGCATTTGAAACAACAAATTATTCTTTTTTTGAAAAATAATATTCCAGCAATTATATTCATATTATAATTATTCATTTCTACGGAACAGTTTATAGCTCTTATCCGCCACTATCCGAGAATCTGTTTTCACATTGGGAAAATGCAATCCTGAAAGATTGTATTTTTCCAACGAAGCTCCTACGAGCGGCTGCACGGCTTTATAATTTATGACACTGTTTTTCCAACGGTGAATATTTAACTTAGAAAGGAAAATCCAGTGCGTGAATTATTATCCCAAGTTATCCGGTGTTCTTCTTCCGATTAATAAATCGCAGTTACCGAAAAACGAACCGTTATCTCCCGAATCTCTCTCGTGTTTTCATCGCCAGTCTCAGGTAATTTCCATTTTCAAGTATCGCGCTTTGTCTTTCGTCTCTTTTTTTTTTGTTTTTTTTTGTTTTTCTTTTTGCAATCGTAAGTCGATGCTATAAATTATCGAGTTTCGATTATTTAAATCGCGATATTTCGTGAATAAAAACATATCTCGTTAAGTATTTATGATTGTAAAAAAAGTTATTAGGATAAGCAAAAATAATTATTCTTTTAAGATTTTGTAATAAAAAATTTATAGACATAATAAAATTAATATCCTCTATTTCTTAAGATATTATTTTAGAAAAGTTTAACAAATCTAAATGTCTATCGTTAAAGATTAATAAATTAATAACGTGATTAAGAAATTGTAGTTTTAAAATTTTTTATTTACAAAGTTGGAATATTTAAGAAGAAGTAATTTTGAGAGAATCGCTGAATATATGTGTATTTTTAAATGCATATAATACAAGTGATACAGTAATGTATCTATGTACAAAGAGAAAGAATTTAATAGAAAAATTCTGTTTCTCAAAATCTATTTCGCGAAAATTATTAAAAATTATATATTTTCTTTCCTTGCTAATTATAGATTTCTCGCGAAATCTATAATTCTTCTTATACATTTTTCTCATCAAATGCAATTTCACGTGACTTCGTTAAGCATTCTTTAAGAATCGATCTGAAAAAAACCTGATAAATCTATTATATTCAAAAAGTTTGGATACACGTGAAATATCATTTTCAAAACGGTTTGAACCAACTTGTTTCCTCGTACACTGTGCGCATCTTGTTACGGAAGTAGATTTTTCGCAGCCATTGAAGATGGCGCGGATACGTGAAAATTTCACGCGTAAATTGGCTTCGTTATTCCTTGATTCGTTATCTATACGGATTTTCGAGTACAAGAGCGTGGTTTCATGAAAATATGCACATCTTGAAATATTTACCTACGTCTGATCCCTTTATTAACCGGATGTTACACGAGAAAATATCTTTCGTCTATGTATTCGATGAAATTTGATTTTCGCAATTTACTTCGACTCTCCGTCGAAGATAATTATTGTTTAAAATTCGTGATTAAAATTTATGATTAAATCGATAATTTATTATTCTATTTTTACATCGTTAGAAATCTTGTTTGAGTTTTTTCTGTTTTAAACTATTAAAAAATTTACGAAAATTCCGCTTTCCATTTCGTTTTGCATTTAGTGATTTGTATCAATTCTCGGACTATCTTCGTCGCATAATGAATTTAAATTTGTTTAACAAATAAATCAATCGATCAAAATTTATTATATATCTGTTTTGAAAATAGGTCTCCAAAGATAAAATAATAAAAAATAAGAGAAAAAAGTTAGCTTGTGAATCCCAAATTGTTATACAGAAATCCCAAGATAAAATCTCGAGTCTTGGATTCTATGATTTTTATATTGCTCTCCATTACATTATCGATTCTATTATTTATTGCCTTCTTAGAATAACGAGAAAATATATATGTTAATGTATTCCTGAAACGACTTTTGCAAATCAAGGTTCTAGAAGTTGGAGCAAAAGTTGATGTGAATATATCAATCAATTGGAATTTATTATTAAATGATAAGCAATAAAAGATCATACTCCATAGTTGAAATATGAAAATCTCAAAGAAGTTAGAAGCAATAAAATACAAAGTTATGATATATACAAGTTCGCGTTGAATGAAGCGAAACGAAGATCTCTCAAGATTGCGAAAAAAACCGCGTATGCATTTCGAAAGTTGCAATACGATTGTATCGGCACTGGTTAAAAAACTCGTTGGTAAACCCGCATTTGGAAACATTGTAATTATATTTTATCGCACTTCTGATAATTGCAGTCTGTATTTAGGAGCTATTGATGCCAAGTTTGTTAATATTTTAAACACAATACAACAGCTCGAAAGAAAGAATCAATTTTTTTCTTTTTGTTAAACAGATAATATATCGAGAATGATTCACACGAAAGGCATTGTAATTTTTTTTAATTTTCAACGTGTGAATAATATGCAATGAGATAATATTCCAATGTCCTTACAGGAATTGCATAAACGATGAATTAATAAGCATCATTCTTTTCAGGTTTTGAAATTTTTTTGTAAAAATTTTTATTTTCTATATAAGACTACGATATTCATAGCTATGCTGAAGAGTCGATAAATTAAAATTTGTAATCGTGATTGGAACATCGTGAGTGATTCAATCGATCGACGAAATTTATTATATTTGTCAATTGTAAATATTGATCGTTCAATCATTAATTGTTTTTTTGATTTAATTTAAGTTCTATACATATGTGACTCATGAACATATGTATTACATTTATCAAGTGAATATTATTAACAATCATTAATGTAAATCTAAACCCTTAAATATTGAAAAGAGAATTTTAATTTTGATCAAGTTTACCTCATTGACTTAATTAATTTATTTTTAACACAATAATTGTAACCATAGATAATTGAATAAAAATTATTATCGATATTCGTAATCAAATATTTTTTCCACTGATTTTCATGTAAAAAAAAATGTAAAATGTTTCAAACTGTGCATTAATAGTATCGAAATTTTATAAACATTCAGATTTATATAAATAATTGAATCAATTGTTACATTATATTTAAAAAAAGCAAAATATTAATCGACTGAATAAATAATGTATGTGCAACGAAGAGGAAAGTAAGAATGATGGGAATGAATAGAAGGCAATGAAATTTAACTTTTTTTACTTTCATTATTGAAAGGGCAAATTAGTGATTCATACATTATTATGAAAGAGTTTACAAATAGTTAGAGAGATCAAACTATGAGATACGTAACTTCATCGACAAGCATTCAAGTGAAACCAGTGGCACAGGTTTAGCTTACAATAGGATTAATGAATATACAAGGTCGGATACATTCTGCACATATTCATAATATTATCGTGTAATAAATATTTTCAGAAAAAAACTCGATATTTCACAAGAATAAGAATTGCATAGGAAAATAAAATTTCAATTGCTGATAAAATTGGTTAACAAATACTTTTTTAATATACTCAATAATTATCACTAATCCTATACAAATTATTAAACATTCGATTAGTATCATTGAGCTATTATAATAATTACAAATTAGAATCATCCTTACACACTGACAATATAATTATTTGATTTGATCAATATTATTGAGCCATAAATAACAATAGTAATTTTTTCATAACAATTACTTTTGACAGAACATTCTCTAATTACTAATTACAAATTATGATTTGTCCAGTAATTAATTCAATATTAAATTGTACACCGATTAAATTCACTACAAATTAATCAAAGTAATAGATATCTGGATATTTATGAATAGTCGTGTAAATAATATTACATTGTTAGACAATATCTTCTATATAATCATTTATCTAACAATTAGATAACAATACATTTCATATAATATATAATTATACTACTCTTTGCTAATTCAACCAATGATTGGCCACTTATTTCTCGATCTGACGTTAATATAAAAATCAATAGAAATAAATAATATGTCACTCACAGCTCAACAATAATGACCGAGGAGTAAAAATCACGGATTTCTATCAACTTATCAGGCACTATCATAAACTAGATATCTCGTGATTAATTACCAACAAAACCAACCAAGCAGACACCTGTGAAAAGCGTAGCTCTACCGACAGTTGTAGCAACGATAGAGGAAGTGAGTGAGTTACCGTGGCACGTGACTGAACCCAAAGAGACGCTCGAGACACTTTTTTCTCCCCCTTCTTTTTTTTTCTTTTTTTTCCCCCCCTTTAGAAAGCACAATGACTCCAAGCAAACTCTCTTCTCCTTGCCTCCGCCTCCGTGAATATCCCTTTCACTTTAAATTCGGCCGTCCCAACGCGATTTTTCTCTTCTGGTATAAACGAATATTATTGTATTGCAAATAAAAGGAAAACACGAGGGAGGGAATGAAATTGCCTTTTCCACCCTTCTTTTCCTCCCCGCAAAAATTTTATCAAAATTTCAATCGAACATTCGAGGCACGCGCGCGCGGATCCCAGGAAGCGATCGATCGTCGCCAGCCAGCCTCGATCTCATCTTCGAAGACGGCGAAGGTGCAAACTGAACTGATACGCGGACACGTGAAACACTATTTTGCCCAGGAGCCCCACTCCCTCCGCTTTTATAAACTGAGACGACACGCTCGAACGCCGTTAATTACTTTATCCACGATCCTCCTGTGTGGACAAGAGTCGAGTACTTTTTTTTCCCGCGTTTTCGCAATTGACACGGCGTTAAATTAGGTTAAGTCATGAAGTATAATGTGGTCGTCAGTTTCGTCGAACAGCGTTCCCTCGAAACATTGTTTATCGCATATAATATCGATAACGTTTATTGTCGAATTTATATTATTTACGAACGAAAGTGGCATTGCACGCTTTACAAATCCTTAAAAATTATTTAAAAGTTGAAATGCACCGTTGAATAATTCTTTTTTTTGTATGCACATTTTAAAGTTGGGTGATTTTAAATATTGCCTTATCAATTATGAAGAATTATATCCGTTTTTTCTGTTACAGATTTAAAATTCAATATAATATGTGTGAAATGTCGTTGGCAAATTGGGATTTTTGAAAAATATCGCATTGAGAAAAAAGAAGGAACGATACATAGAATCATATAAAAATTATTTAGATATATCGAATTTCTTCGAACTTTGATCAATTTCATTTTATTTTATTATAAATTCGATCGATCTGAGTGCAACAATTTAATATAAATATAGGATAAAATTGGATAATACGCTTATTGCATTGCGTCATTATACATCTACATTACTTCAACTTGTTATGTGAACAAAAAAAAAAAGATAATAGTTTAAGAAAAAAGTCAATAAGATTTTCCATGAGATTTCTGCGGTCAACTTTGAAAACTTGATCGTTCTTTCCACGAATAATTGTAAATAATTCAAGGATCGCATTGAAACGAATCGAATTCGCTTCTACATTTTGTGAACAAAAAGTTTGTTGAAAGATATTTTATTCCTACTTTTGCATATAATTAAAAGTAATTTGTAAAAAAGCCTTTAATTTAAACATTTTCCAAAATAATATTTCATATATAATTATTATGTCTCGATTTCTCTATCATTCGCCTGCTCCTTCTTCTTTCTTCTCTTCGTTGAAATGCAATTATTTCTACAAGATTTATCGTCGATTAATTAATTGGTCAAAAAAATTTCCCCAAATCTCAATCCCTCCGAAAGCAAGCCCCGAACGCCACAACATTCTGATCGATCCAGTTAACCGAGAAGCAACACACAACGCCGAACACGTTTTCATTTAAAAAGCGGGCAAGCACCGGCGAACAAATGATTCTCCACCCGAGCAAAAGATATTAAACATCGAACACCCGGCCTCCCTATGAAACAGAGGAATATATAACGTAGACCCGTTGTTACACGTTTCCCGTTGTTGATTGATTTCACCTCGTTTCCGTTTCATTTCTATCGTCATTGTACCTCGAACAATGGAAACAACAGGCCAGTCTCACTGTCATTTTAATTGGATTAATATTCCCATTATGGCGGACCGCGAGGCATCGACCCGCCATTATTTTAATACATCTCCAATCCCCCGCCAAGTGGAAAAAAATTTATTTTAAGCAAATCTGATTGTTTCGATAATCCTCATCCTTGTCGTTTAAACTTTTAATCTAAATATGCGTATATCTTTGCAGAACCGGTTTCAATGGAAACGTTTCTTTTCTTACCTGCGAAGAATCACGATCGTGAATGGAAAATGAATCGTTTAATGTGCGATAAACAGTTGATAAACTCACCTTTTTCGACGCGTGTAAAAATGCGTGACATCCTCGATATCCTCGTGGATAATGAAACACATGAGTGTCTTTCGATCGATACGATATATTTTCGACGATTTTTACGTCATCTACGAGGTGGGATCGACGAGTTATGGCGCGAACACGAGTCACATTCTTTCTGATCGATCACTTTCTTCTCGCCAGGCCACGGATAAAGAGGAAAGAAAAAGTCGTCAAAGATTCGCCAACTCGGTGGCCTTGAAAGGTCTGTCTTTGACGGCTCGCCTCCGTTATAAAACGATATATGTTTCGTGAGTTTTAGGAAAGAAATCGTGGGATTGTTTGTGAACGGAGTGATTATAAAATAAACTTTCGAGATATATTCGATTGGAAATAGTGAATAGTTGCGTAACATCTCGAGAGATTCATAATGGAGTGATTATTAATACGAATGATTGTCACGTTACGAAGGTTTGTGGAAAATTAAATTTTTGCGAATATGTGATTGAACGAATGGAACTTTATACATTTAAGTTTTGCGTAAATACACGATAAGTTTATTAATTAAAAATGTGTAAAATATTATTGGTCGTCTCAAGATGATTACGATAAATTGTATTGTATTGTATTTTTAATATTATTGTTATTGATAAGGACTGTTATTGATAAATAAACTCTAATTAACAAGATAAAGTTCAATTTCTTATAGCATAATTCACTTTCTGCTCATCAATTTTATAATAAAAATTAATTTTCTACTAAACAAATTTTATTCAGCTGAATTTCGATCCACAACATTAAATTCTTATTAAATTTTAATCCTCTTTGATTCTTACTTAATTGCCATTAATAGAGAAAAAAAAAAAAAGAAATTCGCAATCAAAATTAACGTTCCTTCAATTCGATATTCATCTTCTATTCTTCAAGGATCAATTAACGAGGAATACAGATTTCACTGTACCATATTAATTGATGCATAGTATATTTTAGTCTGAATAAACGTCCATTTACATCGTATAAATCCGTCAGAGACAATTTTCCCTAGGCATACGTATCCACCAATAGCACTCCAAGAGTTAATTAGATACAATGTATGGTGATGAAATAAGCAGCAACCTTGCGACAATATTGACAAGGCATGTACCGAGCTTAATGTATTAAACTCACGGAACAGAATCTCAGTTTCAAAAGAACCACGTGGCCACGTTTCGCAAAATCTGGTTTCCCCTTGTTATCTTACGAATTAGAAAAAAAAAAAAAAAAAAACTAGGAATAAAAGGTACTGCTCTCGCAACTGCTACAAGAGAGAAAGGGAATTTTCGAATCATTCCAGCGGACAGGAACGTGGATAATTGCGTTTAGAGCGTTTGCGATAAGGATCTTATTTCAAAATTCGTCATTTCGAAGTAATTTGTGCGTATATCTTGTGTTATAACCTGTGTGCAATCAACGTGAAATCTGTAAAACGATCTCTCGAGATCGAGTTAGAGAGATTTATAGGGATTTTCTTTTTTTTTTTTTACAGTTCACACATCGATAACACAAGTCACGATCGGTTTGCATGATATAAGAGAAATAATTATGATATGTAAATGTTTGAGAAATCGAAGCTGTAAACGGGATATTGAATATTATTGTATGTGCATTTATTAATATATATTAATATATATTTATCTGTACGAATGGAAGAAATATAGGATGAGAGAATTCCTTCTCGTTCGTGCATGTATCTTCTTCTTCTTTTTTTTTCTTTCGATTCATTATGCATATGATCTTGAAATAAAATATATTTATCATTCGTTCGTTTCAGGTAGTTTGAAGCAGTTTAAAGTGATAATTTAATCAAGGTTAGTCACAGGATTGAATTTAATAATAATAATTATAACGAATATATATAAAATTAATGAAATCTCGATAGGATTATAAATATACAATGACCAATGCTTTTTAATATTCATATTAAAAATCACTGTGAAATTTTCCGTAATAAATTAATAAATTAATTCAAAAATAAATAAATCCATTCGACGTTAAAGATATTTATAACTAAATTCTATAAGTTCGAGAAACGAATCTTTCTCAAATGATCTGTCTGATTTATTACAAAATTTATACAAATTACAAACGAATAGTAAAAAATTTAAATTTAACAATTTTCTTTTTATAGAAAATCCATAAATCGAACGAACCATACAGAAAAGAAGAAAAAAAAGAAGAAACGTTTTATCGGACGTATAAAAACCAAATCTATAAATCCAGGCTAAACCCCAACAATTCACCTGTGCAATTACCCCTTCCGGTTTGAGCGGTAATCGGGCAAGATCGCGCGTTATGCAGATTAAAATGGAGGGTAAAGGGCAAGGCTGTAAAAGGCGGTCAGGCAGGGAGGGATGCACACAAATGCAATGGCGCACGAAGGCCACCACAATGGTCCCTAAAGTATATTTACATTTGCATTCGGTAATTAAAGCAACGATGGTGTTTCGTGGATGGGATGGGACCCGTTCTTATCGTTCGTCCGTCGAAGAAGAGCAATTGCCCGGAATTGTGAATTTGGATTTGGAGCAAAGATGGAAGATCGACGATATAACGAGACGGAAATTGGCAGAGGTTTAAGAGATGCTCGATGATTTTAATCGTTTAACTATTTATCCAGACTCATCGAGCAGCTTGATGGAATCTTGATTGTTCGAGCATCGATTATTCAATTATCCAAACCTCATCTGAATTATCCGAATATGTTCAAATATCGATCGTTTAAATACGGATTATTCGAACATTGTCCTAATTTCGATTACACATCGATTATCCAAACATTGATTATTCCGATAAATACGTTCTACGAATATATACATTGCGTTTGTGAGGCATAAATTATTGTTTGTATCGTCAACATATCATAGTTAATTGATCTTAATGCAACGTGTCAAAGTTACAAGTTCTATCAATCCAGAATAAACATGGAACAAACTCGACTCGAAATAGTACTCGAGTAATAATCGCGCGAGATTAATAAATCGAGATAAAACTTTTGAGCAGGGATTTACGTGTAATATGAATTTTTTTTATGGTTGTGCCTGAAAATCATATTGAGCGATGATAAGCAACGAGGGTTTGGAGAATCCTGTATTTGATAAGATTTTTTGTATTAATAGAAAGATAAAATTGTTTGAATGAAGAACAAATTTCATAAATTTTTTAAATTAATTTTTGCAGCAATATTGTTATAGAAAATATACTAATAGAAATCTATTAATAAATAATCCACGCTATTTTATGTACATTTTCACAAACAATGAATATTACAAAATTTTTAAATTTAGAATCTTATAAGTTTTATTCTTAACGCGAAAAGTGATCCTAAACTTTTAATCGATCGAGTGCATAAATGCAAGAGCATGTTTATTAGAATTTTCGCGATAATATGGTTCAATATTTACCTGTGCGATTATACGCACTTGTAAGATAATTTGATAAACTTACTTATTACGTAACTTTATTTCATTATTTAAATTATTTCGTTCATAACGTTATTTCATTGTTCATATTGATTGAAATCTATGATTCAGAATGATCTGTGATCTAAAAAGTAATAAAGAATAGATGTACGTTGATGCAATCTTGTAAAAAGTTGTATAAGATTCAGATCAATTATTTTAATTATACGTGATCGCTATCATTTAAGGAAAATCGGATTAAAAATTTATGCAAAATTGTAATGATTCATGACGCAAAAAATAAGAGGATTTGCGAATTCATTAATGATAATTGGCTATTTAACATTCAAATAATGTTTGTCGGGGAAAATATGTGGAAACAATGTTAACATTATAGCCATTATAAAAGAACAATTTGTTCGTTTTGTTATTCGAATAATACGACTCTTGATTTTTGCTAATAAAGCATGCATAATGCATATAACAGTGCGATTCAATTTCCCATAATATGCTAATCTTGCGAGTTATGATAATTATTGATATTTCGCACATTTAATATATTACACACATGAATGAATATTTCATTACAATTTTAATTGGAATTCTTTAAATACCTTAAATTAGAAAACATTTTTAAGAATCCGTTAAATTTTAATATATCTCGAAAAATTTATTCTTCGATGTAACAATCTCGAATACGACACAGTGTTTATTCGTGTACACATTTTATTATAGATCTTAATTTTATTCATATTTATATGCAATATTTTTTTGTATCCAATTTAAAGATTGTAAACTATATTTTATATATTACAATTATAAAGATTCGAGAAATAAAAAATTTTCAATTCGCAATCTGAAGTGATAAAAGACAGAGAAGAATACGAAAAAATCTAAAATTCGAAATCAATTGGAATTGACATTCTTTCATTCTCGCCCTTCTTAAAAATAATTATCAATTAGTCTGCTTTGTTAATCTTTGAGAATTTTTAAGCCTCCATTCGTTAATACGAATACGAAAGCGTGGTTCCGCGAAATTTTCAATTATGTTGCCGACAAGTAGCTTAATTATAGAATGTAACGATCGTTAGAGGAATTACACGGAGTAAAATCAGCGGTTCGAATGATCAACGGGCTTACGCAAATGGCGAAAGTAAGAGGAAAAACATCGCCTTGAATGGCTCGATCTTCGAGGCCAAATTATTTCCTCGAACGTTTCAATTATTGTCGTGAATAGAAATGAATTTTAAATTTGTGTTTATGCATTGAGAAAAATATGATTGAAACGTGATAGTATACGAAATATGATGTGCAGAGACACGATTTCAATCGTCTGTGTCATTGAATTTAATTTTTAAATTTTGTACAATTTAGATGTTCCATTTATTTTGAAAGTAATATAAGTTCTTTGTATTGGGATTGTTTTATATTTTCATTGATCCTGATAACGTCTACTTATTGTTGATTTGTCTTTATGTTTAAATAAATTTTTCTGAATTAATTAGATTAATATCTTTTCTTCAAATATTATGGATCGTGAATTTACATTATTTCAAAGATGAATGATAATTCTATTTATTAATTGCTGTGTAATTAATATAATACATAAATGAGTACTTTATTAGAAAAAAGAATTAACATATCTAAATGATTATGTTCATTTTATTGACCTTGTTCCTTAATCATAAGAGAAATAAGATATTAATGTGACGTAAATAATGAGGGAAGATAATTTTTTTTATTGCATCGGTAAATTTCACGATTAATTAAAATTATATTCATTAAAAATAAGTATAAGTATAATTGTAAGTTGTAATTATACTGTTTTGTTTTATCTTCTTCTTAGATAATAATTACATAATCTTGTAGAAATGTAAATATGACACAACACTCATTGTGTACATATAAATTGTTGCATATTGATAAAAAATAATCACAAAAATCATTAGAAATGTTGTAAACATTAATAAATATCATCATCCACCCTGTAAATCGTTATTTTTCAATAAAAATTTCGATAACATTGAAAGAATAGAGAAACGCCAGATCCAGTTCTTCTTGGATCTTATTCACGATCTGTTATTTCATTTATTTCCTTATTCCATTTTTGAATTTAACAAACATCTACATAAAAGTAGTAGGAAGTAATTGATATTAATTACATGACTCATTGCAATATCCTTGATAAATATTCTTTCTTTCTATTTCTATCTAATCGTCTACTCTGTTTGAATATTTGAGATAATTACTAGTTCAATGTCGATCGTGGATTTTTCTCTTTTTCTTTTTGTTAACTCTCAGATTTGTCAGAACACGTGAAAACGAGTGAGAAGAGATACCGTATATCATCGTGTCCACATGGTTTCCACGTTACGAGACTCAATGTCGCCTATATTTTCAGTTTGCACATCCGAAACGCAGACAGACACGAAAAATCTCCATTTCTACGAACTACTAGACCGTGTCTGGTATGAAATTAAAATTAACACAGCGTCGTAGTTAAGCATGCAAATGCATTTCTTTTTCGTGCACGCGTTAAGGATCGGGGCGCACGGTCATTTCATATTCACGCCGATGATAAACATCTTCTTTTTCTCTTCCTCTTCATTTTACTTTTCTTTCTTGTTTTACTTTTATATTCGCAACTTATTTGGAACTTTTTCTTTAATTTGGAAGCGACCAATCTTTTGTTAATTTCGACGTGTACAATGCGGGTATGTGTATGTATGACGATTATACATGCAAATTTTATCTCCTTCTTACGAATAGAATGTAATTTTGAATTTTATCAGAGAGAATTTATGGTCTACGCGAAGCAGGGGAATTTCGAACTTTTCGCGGAAGGATAATAACCTTGAAACTACTTATAACTACTTTTATTATTTTTAGTAGTTTAAAAATTTACAATTGATATTAAGGATACGTCGAGTAAAATTTTAAACAAATGAAATAAATTTTGTTTAATCCGATCGAATTATGCGTATAATATTAATAATTCCATTTTGAAGCAAGAAATATTTAATAAGAATTTAATTCAATTTGTTTATTTATTCTTATCTGAAATATATGTATACTTAGTGTTTCGTGATTCATTTTTATTTTTTTTTTTAAATCTTTTTTTTTTTAAATCTGTAATGTACATTTATCATTATTCAAAATATATAAGTGTCCGACGTATTTATGGATGGTAATGTACACGCATCTACGTACGAATGTTCATTTATCTCTATTCAAAATATATTAAATGTCCGGTGAGTTATGAACGGTAATGTGTACACATCTACGAATTTCAAAAGAATCCATCCTCTTTTCGTCTCTTTCATTTCTTTTTTTGTGACGTTTCAAAAAATAAGAAAGAATTGTTCGAATCATTTTAAATGAAATCACAGTCGTGCCTCCCCCTATAAATTTAAATTTATTATTTATTAGATAATTGAGAATATTTTCTCTTTTAATGGTGGAGAAGAAAAATGAAAGAAATATGCCAAAAAAATTATTGATAAATACAAAACTATCAAACTTTCAATCTTCACCGTCAAATCAAAAAATCATATAAGTTATTTTTCAAATCCAATATCCAATTTTCGAGTACAATGAACGGACTTCCATATTTCCAAAATTTTCTTTTCTAAAAAAAAAAAAAAAGAAAAAACGAACTTATTCTATTTCAAATCAAAAATTACCATTTCATCTTTTGCTCTTTTTTAATCCTCAACTTCAAGAGAACCATCGTATAATAAGAAATGCTATTTCCAACGTATCCATTATTATTCAAAAGCACGCGAGGTCAGCGAATTTGCATACAGCAGGCGGTGAGACAGTTTTCCACCGTCCAAAAATTTCCTTTTTCTTTTTCTCAAAACGAACCACGTCCATCCAAAATCGGGAGTACAAATTTTACCCTTTACATTTTTTCTAATCCTCGAGAATAGAAGTCGCGAAAAGAGAATTACTATTTCCTTACTTACGTATCCATTACGTATTCAAAAGGGCAGTGAACGTCGTCGATTTACCCTTATATCGCGCAACGAGGGGCCACCAGGGGGCGGCCGAGAACGGATCCTTGGCGGGACGCGATAAAAATGGAAAGCCTCGAGCCGAGGGCGGGGTGGAGGCCGCGTAAAATGAGAAATGCATGAGAAAGGGGAGCCGACTTACCGTCGTGGGAGTCGTAGAGGTAGATGATTTTCTTCCATCCGTAATATCGCACTGTGTCGATGATAGCGCGATGATAATCCGGACGCATGCTTATGGCGAAATCCAGGAGACCGGAGGACGGTGTCAGAACCTGTAACACGCGTGTATACTTGTATCTAGTGGTCTATCTAGAAGAATTGGAGACGAGAAGCGTTTCTGAAAAACTCTGTCTAGAAGAAATTTGAAATAAAATCATTGAAGTTAGGTATTATGTACCGGAAAAAATAATAATAGAATAACTATCGAATTGGATACGTTAGTTTAATTTTTATCTTTAAACTCTTTTTCTGGAGGGATGGAACAGAATTAAACGCACGATTCGAAAAAGTAATTATTAAATCCTATGATCTTCGAACTAATTTTTAAATGAAAAAAAAAAAAGAAGAGAGAAACAATATATAAAACTATATTTTTCGCTTACTTTCACGCACAAAGAACCAATCTATTCTATTCAAAAAATTTACTCGTATCCAATTAGAGAATTAGCCAATTTCTATATCCACTCATGGCCGGAAAGTTATCCAAACACGATTCCAAAATCGAGAACAAAGCTTGAACGACAAAAAATTTTTCTCGATCCGCTTTTCGCGCACAGTGAAATCACTTGGCTGCCAGCTTTTACCTTACAAATACAAGATCACGTATACACGTTTTGGCTTTCAGATTTTATTCATCCGCGAACGAAACTCGAGAAGCGTTGAATGGTGTAGTTTCCTCTGAGGTGGAGGGCCAACCGACGAAAACCCGGCACGATAAATGTAATCGTAAATAATTACGACGCGCAGCGTGGCGTGAATGGCGGTCTGTTTGAAAGCTCCTTTCGCAACGTGATATTGGACTGTTTCAAGAGTTTTCTTGTTGGCGAGGTAACCGGTTGATTTTCAGCGAATTACATTTTTGTTCAGGGAATAGTGGTGTTTTGTTTCTTTCTCTTTTCTTTTATATTCACAAATAGCTACAAGCTGTTTTCATAAGTCTTGGTAGATGTATGTATTTACTTGTTATACTTGTCATATAGAATAACAATAATTAGTTAAGAAAAATATATGTGTATCAAAAATCGTTTATTATATGATATAAGCTGAAATAAATAATACATTTTGCATTTTTGATGCCACGAGCAAGCACGAAATTGGAAATAACATTAGATTGTTTAGAAAATTATTTTCCAATAAAAATAACGATCTATTTATCAACAAGAGAAAGAAATATTTCCTCGATTCATAAATCTATAATGACAAAGCAGTTTCGAGTCCAAGCCACGTGAATCCCGATCCAAACGGGATATTGCCTCCACCAACAAAAGCTGGGAAGGAAGGAAAAAGCAAAGGGAGAACAAAGAAAGGGATAATGCAACAGAAAGGAACAGTGATCGCAGTTCCACAAGATGTTAAGGGAAAATAGCACAATAACATGGAGGGAAATTGAAAGAGATCTCCTCTTATAAATGGCAGTTCTCCTGCGAGCCGTAATTGACTAGCCACGTAGGGGGTAAAAGAGAAAAGTAGAAAGGAGAGGATTGAAAGACAGAAAGAAAAAGAGAGAGAGAGAGAGAGAGAGAGAAGAATAGAAAAGAGAAGGGAAAAAAGGAGAGCGAGAGAGGTTTCGAATTAGCATTACCGCGCGATTAGCATTTAAACAGCATGAACGTTCGTTACACGATTGCTGCGTGCTCGTACAACATGTCGAAACAGATAAAAACGCGCACTTACATCCAGATATACGGGGCCGCCATTCATCCAATATGGACGTGCTATACACGTTTTGCAAGTGGCGCCACCCGACAAATGCAGCTCGATGCGACGAATAAATTTTCGCCCTATCCGATTCATTTCGAGAGTCGAATTGTAATATGTTCGTACACATCCTATATTTATTTATCAGAGTGGAGTGATATAAATGGAAGAGTGGGTGATAATTATCGACAAACAAACGATGAATTTTTATTCGATCTCGAATCTTCGATTTTGATAATTATCACGATGACACTTCTCTCGAATTCGGTTTGTAAATGCTTAACAGTGAAAAGAAGAACGTAGAAAGTAAAACTTGTGAATGATTAATGATACAATAATGATAATGATAAATACTACGAACTCTGGTCCATTGGAAGTAAGCGTACGTGAGTATGTACGGTAAGTTAAGAAGGTGTTTACGAGTCAGGATGATTTATTGGTGATACGTTTGCGCATACATTTATGGATGAACTGTAGCTATATAAATAATCCGTGAAAGAGCAGATAGATAGAGTACGGTACTCTGGTAATTGTCCATAAATATCGACCATTACGATGAATCTTTATCAGTCTCGACTCTTGTTCCAAAGTATGTGTGTGTGTATGTGTGTGTGTGTGTGTAACACGCGAATTTTTCGAGACGAGGAAAAATATTTAACGGAGGAAAGAACAATGAAAGTAAAACTGGCGAGGTATGACTAATGAGATAGGTATGAGGATAAACTTTGAAGAATTTCCACGAATCTGACCTACTGGAAGTGAACGTAAGTATGGTAGTTAAGGAAGAGTTTACGAGTAAAGTTGGAATGCAAGGAGATGAAGTTTTTTTTGTTGGGTAATTAAGTTGCAGGATAAGTTGAATTAAAATTCTTAGGATTTTTGATACTTTGAAATTATACCTTCCCTCCTCCCCCCCTCCTTCAGCCATTTCTTCAATTAACTTAACTTATTCGGTATTTATTACATTTTTGTACCTTTAATGATATAATTTACGATTTAATCCCTCTCCTTTACGATTTTTCTTCGAATTACATTTGCTCATCGAAACTTAAATAGAATACGATTATTCAAACGAGTATGTATTACATTATATAACGCGTGTTTATATATTTTTATACTTGTATCTTAAAGGAATTAAATCGAAGAAATGATCGTATCAATTAATCTCCTCACGTTTTTCATCGATAATCGAATCGAACACGTTCTGAGAAACATCCTCTTTCATCATCAAGCTTCGAAAAGATGATAAAAATAAGCATCGAAGGCCGATAAGTGAAAATAAGCGGTATATAGGGGATCGATGGATAAGAATAAATATCGGCGGTGATATTATAAGTTTTTATTACAGAGGGGGAGAAAAAAACGTGCTATTTACCTTCTCGGGAAACCAGGGCGTCACGAACGGCATTTGAAACGTATTGCTGTAAGAGTGAAGGGTGTCGAACGAGTCCGGGCTGACGGCGCCCAGCATGGAGAACACCCCTCTGCTGAATTGACTGCAAACTGCAACAAACGATTAAGTTGTTAAATTTTTTTGAAAATTTAAGAAAAATAATTATACGTAACACGAGGAAATTCGAATTCGTTCGGAAACGAAAATTTATTCGTTCTTATAAACTTATTAAAATGTATGAAATCGTACGTCATTCAGGAAAGAATGCAATTAATATTGTTTTTTAGCGTTTTATTATTAAACGTATTTAAAATCTAGAATAAGCAGAAATTTATTGGAAAAATTAATATGAATCAATTTAAATTAATTTATTCGAATATTCAAATTGTCGTGGATATTTGAACAATGTACAGATGATTCTTAAAATTAAAAAAAAAAACGACATTGAAATATTCATCAAAAGACACATTGAAAAAGATTTAATTAAAGAATGCGATATCTAGTAAATAATATATACAATTTAACTAACGAGACAAAGAATCATTAAGAAAAATAATATATATATATAAAACTTAAATTATTTCAATCATTACATCTTAAAAGGTAAACAAAATAAAAATTTTAATAGCCAGAGTCTAATAAAGAATATAAAATTTTACAATTTATGATTAAAAGAAAGAATTACCAAAGAGACGATAAAGAAAGAAATAACAAAATAAAAAAGATTAAAACGTTTCAAAGAAAAGCAGTCTGGACAATGTAAAATTTTATCAACGAAATAAAAGTTTATGAAGTGTATCAACATAATCGTAATGAAAAAGAAAAGAGAGAAAGAGAGAGTGAAGAACGTTTTAATCCCAACGACAAAAATTAAAAGAATCACGTGTCTGACACTGCAACATTCGTCGTCGATTAACATGGAAAAATGATCGCCATCGCTCTCTGAGACCTCTATCGGGTAAACGAAGCGAATTTTCGCGAGAATCATGCGAGAAAATTCAACAAATCGCGTTGGCATTTCACGCGTAATTTCATTCGCAGCCATGTTGGCCTCCACAGTCGCAGTACGGGTAATATCTATTCAAAAGTGTCAAAGCATAGTCAGAAGTCCAATAACTCTGTTTTTCATTATTGGGTCGCGGACAAAGGGAAGGGAATTCCATCGTGATTTTTTCCTTTTTCTCGCGCGAAATGCGCGCGAGAGCTCGCGTCGAAACACGCGGATACCGACGCATTAGCATTGAAATTTTATTCCATCAATGTTGATAAAAAAAAAAAAAGGGAATTTCATATTGTGAATATGAAATTTTGATATTCCATTTTTGTCCAATTTATAATTCTTTTAATTTCCATTCTTTCGATCGAGATAACGTTTGGAATCTATTTTCCAAAATGTTGTTAGATAAATGTAATGATAAAACGTTCGTATTATCGATGAAAATTTTATTCTAATTAAACAATATAATTAATGCGATGAAACAACAATTATTTTGTTTCTAGTAAAAAAATAATTTCGCAGATACTTTTTCAAAAATATCGAATTTCTTCATGATTCATCACATATATTGTTAAAAATACACACATATAGATATATATAAAAAATAAAAGGATATTTTATAATTCTTGTTCCAATATTCCAAATTTGAAATAACAATTATTAATCTCCTTTTCCATGAACCACTCCAAGAAAATTTCAAACTTCTATCTCTTCCTCCAAAATTTTTACCAAGTCTTTTCTCGCGTCTCCGTAAAAAGAGCCAACTCCAACCAGCGAAACGTGTCCAGAATCCATCCTCTCCTCCCAAGGAGGCAGTGTTTTTCGAAAAGGAGTCGTATACATGTGTAAAGTCGATAATAGGTCGGCCGTTGGGGATTGATCATGCATCCCTCCCGCGTACTAGACGCAACGGTGGCTGCATGCAACACACGGCATCGCATATCGATTAGAAGGTCTCCGTGACGAACGATTCTCCTCCTCTCGACACATTTGCGAGACCAGGTGCACAGCTAATAAACGCGAACTCCGCCAAGTCGCATAATATGGATCGGTTAACCGATGGAGCAAAGCGGCGGCGAAATGGAAGAGAAGAACAATTCAGTCTAAGGCGAGAGAAGAAGTTTCAACAAAAGTTTCAATACGGAGAATTTTAATAATTAGACGATTGTCGTTCTTTTCTTTAAATTTTTGTTTCCATCTTTCGTAGCCTCCACTTCTCAAGAATGAAAATTTATTGGAAGATTTTTTTATTGATTAATTAGAGATGTCTTGTGTATTATAACGTAATAGAAAGATTTTATTACTTTATTTGTGGAATAAAAATTTCCAATAAAATAAATCTTAATTAATAAGAATTTACATCGTGGTATTACATTTAACACTTTATTATTTCTCAGAAATAATTTGTTACAAAATTTTCACTTCCGCAATTAAAACATCCCATACAAGATTTTAGCCCCAACATAACTTACACAACTTGTCACAACATTTTCGACTTCCCTCACCACCTTCTTGTATAAAAGAATAATATCATATTCTATATATTCTACATTCTATATTCTACAGTCATATTGTACATACTCGTTGCTCGATTAAAATCTGTATTCTTTTATTTGCATCACGGATCGACTTGGTCGACTTGGTAAACAAGCGACGAAAACGGGGCAAACAGATCAGCAACGACATTCTCCAACTTGGCGAGGGGCTGCGAGACGATAAATAAGATCGTAAATAAAGGGTGGGGGGAGGGCGCAAGAAGCGGCGGAAATCTTGATGGAGGGGAGGAGGAGGGGCCCCGTCGTGGAATTAATAATGATGAAAGAGCGAAGGGACAGAGCGGAGCGTGGCGCGTATACGTCACGATGCCCCATTATGCTTATGAATATAAATGCACCCTTGGGGGTGGTCGCAATAAATGCCGGCCACAGCGGATCCCCTGAATTCTGGCCCCTTTCCTACTACACGCGGCGCTGCCCGGTGGAACAACGAAAATAAAAGGCCAGTCGCCGCGCCGCCGGCCAGTTTTTCTTCCTTTCCTCCTCCTCCCCCTTCCCCTGTCCACGTCCTCTGTACGTGGTGGCTTCCAACCACCCCCCTCTCTCTCGTTTTTTCCCTCTCTTTGCTTTTCGCGGGGCCGCGACCACGAATGGCACCGCGCGGCGGCCCGGCATAAAAGAATAATTAAAATAAAGTAGGCTCCGCGCAATTCTGCCGAAATTGCGGCTCGGCTACTCGTGGCAACGATAACAACAACGAGATGGTTAATAAGGGAGCGGGCGCGATTCCAACCCCCTCTAATTACACGAGGCTAAAGGAAAGTATTATATTCGACGTGGAAACTATTTTTTTTTTTTTTTTTTGGAATTTTGATCGATGAGAGGAATAATTTTCTTTGCCTCTGTTTTTTTTAATTTTTCTTTTTTTTTTTTTTCGAACGATTTGATACGATTAAAGAAGGAAATATTGTTAGATATAGTAAGGTGTTGTAAGATTCATGTCATGAATTGCTGTGATTCGAAGTGAAATATCACTCGTTTTCACTTCGTTTCCTCTTTTTTTCGTGAATTTGGATTTTATTCGGAATAATTTTCCTCGCTCTTGTTGCTCGGACGCTTCTTCTTCTTTCCTCGGCTTTTCTTGTTCTTGGCTCGTTTCTTCTTCGCTCTTTCTCTTTGCCGAGTCACGTGGAACGGAATTTCTTTCATTAAGCTTTCCTATGGAATTCGCATAACGTTGCGGGAAACGAGCTATCGGAATTTTGGGATTTATACGGCGGCCCACTTCCTGAACCTGAAATCATGAATAATGCAGAAGCGAAAACGGGTTTCTCGTGCGAGGTAATTGGAGCCAAGCGGGTTTCTTCTTCGAAAACATTGGTCACTGAACTTTCACGCTCATTCCGATCGATCCGCGTTTTTCCGCTTTTTGATATTCTGAAGTTTTCCTGGGAACGTCAACTCTCCAAACTTAATACTCCAATATAAATTGCCATCATAGTTTTTTCCAAAGTTTTCTTTTTTTATATATATATTGATAAATTTACACTTTAAAGTTGTATCATTATATTTATCCTTTTAATTATAATTATAAATCCAAAGTTATGCTTCATATAATGTATTATAATATGTGTAAATAAGTACAATTATCTAAAAATTATTATCACATTATGTTTCATAAGCGAAGAATATCTACAAAGAGAAATATGAAAGTAAATATTTTATAATAAATCACGTCATTAAGTATTATTATATTAAATGAATAACTCATAACATTTAACTTAAATTTATTTAAAGGAAATCTCTCGATTTCTTTTTCAAAAACGAGACGTGTTATTTAATTTTCCCCTAAAAACCTACAAAAGTAGTAACAAGCACCTAGTGTTTTGTCCTTCTCTTATGCCTCTTGCTCTTCTCTCTTTTTCTTTCCATCGTGGCCCAACTTTTCATCCAGAGCGTTCGCGTTCTGGCAAAGCTCCAAACGTTTGAATTGTTGCTCTACTCGATATCATATCGTCCTCCGTAACCTCTCCTTTTCCTCTCCCCGCTTCGAAAACTTTTCTGCTTCCGTTTTATCGAGTGTCAGGCTCCGCCGTTTGCCGCAGGTATATCGATCACGATTTCGCGCCGACCGAATTGTCGGAACGTTTACGAGCATTTAGCCGACTCGATTTCGATCCACGCACGAAATACTCGAGGATAAAATGTGAAGATTGTTCATATTTTGACTAAAAATTATAAAATCTTTGAAATAACGATCGATGCAATTTATGTTGTAATTTATCTTTGATTCATACCACTCCAACTTTTTTTCATACGTGTGAATATCTTTGAACCTGGTCTTTTTACATTCGATAATATTGTAACGAATAATATATATATAGTAAGATAAAAGAAGACTATATATACGTATATTTCATTCTATGTATCTTCGTACACAGTATTTTTGAAGATCTTTCTTGTAACAAGAAAATTTCAAATTTCAATTTTGACAAGCCCAAAGTTCGCTTAATGAAACTTTATTGAATCATCGAATCATATCATTCCTTTTGTAGAAAAACATACGTTTCGATTTAATTTGTAAATTCATCCGTATTTTCTCAAATTCGTATTATCT